TATTATTATTATTATTATTATTATTATTATTATTATTATTATTATTATTTCTCCTTTATTCATTAAACATGAATCTTAATCAACTGAACTTTTTAAAATGTATCACAAATATCATTGACTGGTGCTAATGGTTGATACGGGTCTGCTGCCACCGTCCTAGGTATCAACCAAGTATCGTCTTAAAATATAACAATTATTGTTTGTCTGTTTGTTTGTTTAAGATTTCCTCTCCAATTCTATTAATAGTCTGGGATTGGAAAAAACTTAGCAGTTCAAGCCCTAACCAAGGACCTCAGAACTGTTAAGGTGACGTCTGAGTATATAGGCAGTTCAAGGAAATCTGATTTTTTTGCAAAGTCAAAATATTCAGGTCTGATAAGTTTAAAATGTCCATGTATCTAGGCAACCCCTTTGGGTATTGCTCCAAGGGTTCCTATTACTATTGGTTCAACCATTGCTTTCTTCTTCCACAGTCACTCAACTTCTATTATTGGTGTTGTTGTTTGCACAGTCTGCCAGATTTGTAGATTGCATTTAGCATTTTTATCCCCCAGTGACTCTTTCTCAAGGAAATGGGATAGGGAGATATTGTTGTGTGATGGTATTAAACCATCATTGGAGCATGTAAACCAGTGTTTCCCAAACTTGGCAGCTTGGTGATATGTGGATTTCAACTCCCAGAACCCCCCTGGCTGGAGAATTCTAAGAGTTGAAGTCCATGTATTTTAAAGTTGCCAAGTTTGGCAAAAACTGATGTTTTTCCAAGTATATATCCCTTTTGCTATTCTTATTATTAATATTTTAATATTTTCTCTAGCAGGGCATGCAGAAATCTGGGGAACCTTTAGTTGGAAAAAAATAAGTTTTTCAACTCACTTTGCTAACTTCAGGATAGTGGTCCTTCAGGAATTTTTGAAGCACACGTGTGACAGCCATTCTTAGGCTTCTTACGGGCTTAAATTATTGCTGTGTTGATGAGCAAAGAAATGTTCATGAAATGAATTTCCTTGTGGATAGAAGGCAAGAGTTTCCTTGTGGATAGAATTACAAAGTTTTTTTTTAAAAAAAATATTTTAATTCTTGTATTTCTGTGTCGTTTAGAGAACGAATGTTATGGGGCACCTGCTAAGCAGAGTAAGTATTTCCTAATTTATTGGCTTTATTCACTTTACAAGGAATCCTCTCTTCTGAATTCTATTCAGTTTGGGGAAACTGTTATTTAGAGGTTTTAAAAACAGTAAGGAAGAGCCATGAAGCTGGGACCAATGGATTCTCCCACAAAGTGCTTTCTCTGCAGGCTTCATTTAAGGACAGGACAAAAGAGAGGGGGATTTTCTTCATTGATCCTGAGTCCAAAGTACATCAATAATCCTGATCCTATATATTTATCAAAGCCCAACGACTCAATGCCAATGTTGAATTTCTTAAGCCTGTTCTACTCACTGGGGAATGAACCAGAATCAATCTGGCATTCATAGAATTACATTCTGGATGGAAAGGTTATCTTACTCTTAATGGACCAGTCTGCAGAAGATTGACTCAGGAATATTTTAGTGCAGCTTGTCCCTTCCTCCCCACCCCAGTACTAAATATGCAAAGCAGTGAGGAAGGATGACATGACTTCTAAAGGTAGAACTTTAGACTGTTTTCTTAACCACAGTAGAATAAACGCAGTAGGAAATCATCTATCTCCAGTCTACAACACAGATCCTTTCAACAGTTCCAGGAAGGCTCCACACTCAATTGCACTATTCAGGTAACCCCTGAGGATACAGATAAACCTCCAAGTGGCCTCAACGGCTCTCTAAAATGGATGCAAATGACCAGCTGTCTGCAAGGGGTGTAAATCCTTCCATTCCCCACCATCCAGCCAGAGCTGAAGAAGCTTCTGGGATGAGAAGCGAAACATCTTCAAAGAAAAAAGAAAAAGAAAAAACAGAAAATCCAGTTGCCCCTTGAGGGAAAAAAAGCACCTTTGGGAAGTGCAGTAGGAACATTTCAGATGATGTGGTGATGGAAGAAAAATCAAGCAAGATGACGCCACAAGGAAAAGTGACAATTGCTCTACCTTTTTGCCATTTCTTTTCCACCAGCCTTTGCTGCTTTGAAAAATATAAAGAGTTCTGTTTTGGAATTTTTCAAGCACTGGAAACTAAAGAATAAATTGGAAATGGAAACAGAAAATGGATATCTCAATGTTTTGTTTTGTTTTTTTCTCAAGACCAACTAATCTTTTTAAAGTTTTGCTCCTGCTTTCTCTCTTCTGCTATTATCCCAAAGGGAGGGGAATTCTGGAGAATTCATGGTTGTTCTTCAGTTAGCTAGACATCCAATTTGTTCACTCGTGTTGGAGGGTTTTTGTGTGTGTGTGTGGAGAAGTTAAACCACAATTTAAGCCATCGTATGATTCTTCTCCCACTCAGTTTTGAAGAACCGTCACTCCCATTTGATCCCAGAAGCTGCCTATTTTCCTATTGCTGAGTTTAAAACTTGGCTGTTTGCAAAAGCCAAATCAACTGAATATTCAGAGGGGGTCTGTTATTTTAATACCCCCCTCCCCCCCCGCTATTGTCACATGCAAGATAAAATGTGAGTTTTAGGCTAAATTAAAGCTAAGTTAAGAAAAGAGAGAGAGGGGGGGGGAGGGAGGGAAGGAGGGAGGGAGGGAGGGAGAGAGAGAGAGAGAGAGAGAGAGAGATGTTGAGATATATATTATCAGGTGTGCATTTTAGAGTACAATTGACCTAAATAGTTTTGCAATCAAAGGTTCTGTTGTTAAAGGAATGGTATAATATATCTGCGGGCCAGAATGAATACTCAACTTACCACAGCTCACTTAGGGACCATTCAAAGTTACAGTGGCACTGAAAAAAAGTGTTTCCCCCCACTTATACGACCATGGTAGTATTCCCATGGTCAACAGGAGACTCAAGGAGGACTCCGGATTGACTTAACACCTGTGTTACTAACTTAACAAATGCAACGATCCGCTTCACAACAGTGGCAAGAAAAGTTGTAAAAACGGGGTAAAACTCACTTAACAAATGTTTCGCTTAGCAACGTAAATTTCGGGGCATAACTCGAGGACTACCTGCATAACACAAGTTGTGCAGCCTACTTCTGGATCCCTCTTGCTCGTGTGCTTCTTGCCGTTGTGTTTGAATGACAAATGGTGTCGAATTCTTTGCCCCAAACGAAGAGCCTTCAGCCAATGAGGAGGAATCAATACAGGATGTGTAGGAAACTTCACACACACCCCCTTGTACTGATGGGTGTTACCTAGTTGGGTAATGAAACATCAGCAAGAAAGCAATCCAGCTCAGAGAGCACTCAAGGAGTTCCTATATTATGTGATTCTTTGGAGGGCAGAAAAAAAATGAAATGCTCTGCTTTGTTTTTGGCTTACGACCACAAAGTGAGCCCGGAAATTCTGTCGTTAAGCAAGACACTCGTTAGGGGAGATTTGCCCTGTTTTATGACCTTTCTTGACAACCGTTGTTAAGCCCATTCACAGTTGTTAGATGAATCTGACAATTGCTGGTCAGGAGGTCGCAAAAGGGGTCATGCCACTCCAGGGGGATGCTGCAACCATCATAAATACGAGTCAGCTGCCAAGCGTCTGAATTTGGAACACTTGACCATGAGGACATTGTGCGTGAGTGTGAAAAAAGGACAGAAGTCATGTTTTGTTCAGTGCCATCATAACTTTGAACGGTGACTAAATGAATTGTTCTAAGTTGAGGACTACCTATATATTGTGTTCGTACAACATTCCACGCCTCCCGACCAATGAACCTCAAGTGCTGATGTGCAGTTTTTGTACTTTTTTGCAAGCATTTCATCTGTCTTTTTTTCCCCCTGTCTCTCTTTCCTGACCACCTTTCAGCCAAATCAATGAATTTATCACTTCCTTTGACGCCCGAGTCGCCAAAGTAAGTATCAAGAATTGCAAATATTTCTAAGAGGGTGGGGGGGTTTTTACACCTAGTTTGGCTACAGCAACTCCATTTCAGCTTGTTTTTATAAATGTGGCCTGTCTTCTAGTGATCTGAAGGGTTCTCCATTTGAGAAGAAGACTATGGAAGAAACTTTGAATGCCGAACTCTGTGGAACTGCAGGTGAGACACCCCTTTTCTCTGCCTTCACCGGAGGCCTTTTATGGGTGGCTTGATATTACGAAACTGCAGCGATGCGTTATGGTGGTCTCATAAGAAATTAACTTGGATAGTGTTGGAGAATAACTTTTCCTCCTGGCACAATTCTCTCAGAGGAGATCTCCTTTAAAAGGGACTATTCCCTTGCTGGAATAGTAATAGAGTAGTGTAGTGTAGTGTAGTGTAGTGTAGTGTAGTGTAGTGTAGTGT